CTCCAGGGGAGCTCGCCGCCACCGAGGCCTCCAGGGGAGCTCGCCGCCACCGAGGCCTCCAGGGGAGCTCGCCGCCACCGAGGCCTCCAGGGGAGCTCGCCGCCACCGAGGCCTCCAGGGGAGCTCGCCGCCACCGAGGCCTCCAGGGGAGCTCGCCGCCACCGAGGCCTCCAGGGGAGCTCGCCGCCACCGAGGCCTCCAGGGGAGCTCGCCGCCACCGAGGCCTCCAGGGGAGCTTGCAGCCACCGAGGCTCCTGGGGAGCTTGCCGCCACCGTGGCTCCATCCTCTGACCCTGCTATATCACTGCTAAGTCCTACAGTGATTAATGGTCTGAGAAAAGAACCATGGTGCACGATGGATGATATTGACAAGGGATGTAACTCAAGAATGGAGGAGAGGGAGAAGGCACGAGCCACTGGAGAGGAAAGCATAAGAGTTCTTCTTTTACAGGGAGCCGACTCTTGGGAGTTCTTTATAGACATGACAGGGTCTCTTCAAAGAGACCCTGTCACCAACTTACAAAAAAAGCTGCAGATAGGAGAACAGGAAAATCAAGTGTTTTAAATGTTATTTGCATCGTTTTATCTTATGCATTTGAACTTGCTAGAACATGTGACTACTCCATGGTCCCTTTAATAATTTTCTTTGTCAGGGAATTTATTTATTTATTTTTGGACAATGCTTTAAAGTGGCCCTCGCATCAAAAGCTAGGTGGACGGACCTGTGAAGCATTAGGTGAAGATCGATCAATGCTCGGAAGGTGACGTCACATTACCTTTGATGTTGGGGTCTCGTTTTGTCCTCCACTGTGGAACAAAGACTGTGATCTTCCGATGACCTCTTTGCCAAAAATATTCCACGGCTATGGCGATTCCTCGACAGCTGAAGAAGCGCTGCAGGCCGTGGCTAGAGGAAACAAATAGAAGAATCCATCATAAAATGTGACTTTTCCCAAACTTATCCTAGTGCTGTAGGGGCCGGTGAGAGGAACCACTGATGCAGACATTAAACACTTCTGGAAGTGTGGAATACAAATGATTTTTTTGAAAACTATAATAAAATCAATATAAATTTCATTTGCACACCCGGCTATGACCTTGTAAAAGTAGCAGAGACATCATTACTGTGCTGTACAGAGCCTGTGCAGAGAGCAGAGATGTAGGAGGGGCCCAGCAGGCTCCACCCACTACAGTAAACCACTGGAGGGGTAGAGACAAGACCAGTCACCCTGCACAAGGAGAGAGAGCAGCAGTGAGCGGTCTTTATTACAGGAGGGGTGGAGACAAGACCAGTCACCCTGCACAAGGAGAGAGAGCAGCAGTGAGCGGTCTTTATTACAGGAGGAGGCGGAGACAAGACCAGTCACCCTGCACAAGGAGAGAGAGCAGCAGTGAGCGGTCTTTATTACAGGAGGAGGCGGAGACAAGACCAGTCACCCTGCACAAGGAGAGAGAGCAGCAGTGACCGACCCGTCTTTATTACAGGAGGGGGCGGAGACAAGACCAGTCACCCTGCACAAGGAGAGAGAGCAGCAGTGACCAGTCTTTATTACAGGAAGCTCAATAAACACAACAATGCATGCAACTCAATAGACTTTTGTCAGAGGAGCTGGTCTGAAAATTGGAGGGTGCTGATGGAGGAGGGGGGGGG